ACCCAACGATTTCGGCCTTCCCAGCACAAGAGATTGGGTGTGCGGTTGAGTAAGCGTTAAGTGCATCATGGCACCTCCAAACGGACGTGTCTGCACTACTGACGTCAACTGGATGCGAGCAGTAGATGACCTACATCCTCACAGCGATGCTGTAAGGAGTGAGACTAAGGTTAGTAAACTCCCATATTCACGAAACTAACCCAGGTTGTAATCACTAGGCAGGAGAAGAAGACATTGGGGCTGTTGAATTGTAAGCCAAACTTGCGTACCCCCTGAGAGTCCTCTATTCGTCGTCATGATGTGTGGATCACCTGGACAACGATTGTGCATAACTACGACAACGCCGTTAACCAATAAAGAGTACAGACCTTATCATCCTGTTATTTACTTCCTATCAGCGCGCTATGCTTTCCTTTTTCCATGGGTTATTTTAAAGTACTATATGCATTGCTCTGAGATGAGAGACATTTTCGGTACCTTAACAGAAGTGCTGTTATACTTTGCTCATATGACCACCTGATGTCTGGCAGCTACGTTGGTATGCGTCCAGCCCTTGTGTGTGTGGGCCGCCCTTCGGGCCAAGCCGAGGCTTAGTCCCTTCTTCTTTCCCAAAAGCATATGCATTAAGTCCAACTTAGTGCCTTTTACACCAGACGATGCAGGTGCAAAATGGACGTGCGTACAACCCTCCTACACGCCAGGCTGGTGGGAATGTTGCGTGGCTAGGCCAAATGGCGCCAGTGTAACTTAAGTGCGCCTAAAGCAAGGCTCATCTTGATTAAACCCCTGTTTAAAGACCGTCTGCAACATTCAAGGAAACGTGGAATCAGATTCCTGGGTAGATAAAGTGGTTTCTGATTATCTTTTCTTACTATTGCACTTATCCACACTATCATTGAGCACTCGTGGCAAGCAACTGGGCCTGCCTCGTATTGCATTTGTGTGTCCAAATGCTAGAAAGTCGTTAAATTGTGAAGTCAATGTTTGGTGTTTGTCTGATTTAATCGCTGTTTATAAATTTAATGTCCTTGCTTGAGTTCCATTGGTCAACAAGACTTGTGGAAGCTTAGCCTAGATCAGGTCGCGTGGAGATATTTGCATGTGCGCGCGGCTGGCGGTTTGTCCTTTCCACTCGGGTTAAGGTTTGTGCATTTCGTATCCTATCCTTTATCAACCACGTGTTTTGGGAGTTGAACATGCCGCCCAATTGACTTACGGATACGTGCTATGTGATAGTGTGACCAGTGTAGTCTTTATATCTCTCCTATTTTTGGCCTACAGCAGGAGGATATGTTGAATCGCCCTTCAGACTTCGCTGTGAACCAATTGAAGAAGTTTGGATGGTCTGAAGGTTAGTCTCGATGCTGAATAACTAAGTTTTGAAGACTATGTCGTGGTAGACATTCTTGACCCGTTACTTCCATGTGCAGTGATGCGATGCGATGTGAATGATCCCACATTTCTGTTAACATTACTGTGACTCGTCACATGGGTTCGTTTTCTGCCATGTTGATGCTTTACACATACTAAGGGAAGTTATTGTACTTTATTGTCCATTTCGGTATAGGTGATGGTCTAGGAAAGAATAAAAACGGTATTTCCGAGCCAATCAAGGCATCAATGAAGTTCAGTCGAAGAGGTCTCGGAGCCACCTATCAGACCGCAGAGATCGACGGGCTTCTTTGGTCAAGTGTGTATGAAAAGGCCCTATCTCCTGTCGTCGTTTCCAACACTTTCATCTGGCCGAAAGTCGAGTTTGTTTCAGCTGCGGCGTTCCAAGTTGATGAATCTCCAAACTGTCGTAAGAGGGAGTTGGTAACTATCAAACCCAAGCCTCAGAGAACTCACGGCAAGTCAAAAGACGTTTCCATGTCGCAAGAAAGGAGGAAACGAAAACGGCGCGAATGTGGTGGTGTGAGTGTTAAAGACATCGGCGACTGTGTGGAAATGGGTGAGGAAAAGGATAGGGGAACACAGGCCGTGAAAAAGATGAAATGTCCTAGGGAGGCAACAGGTGCAAAAGAGGGGGTAAACATGAGGTCGTTCCTAAACTCTCTTTCTGGTACGTGTTTACTGGAACTTGGTAATGGACGGACAGGACATCCGGCTGCTCGCTTTGGGATTCGGTGTGGTGGCAAATTAGCAAGAGCTGCGAAGTATCTTTAGGTCTTGCATTTGTATCTGTACTATTCGCCTTCCCATATAAGTACAAATAAAACGATTAAAACAGGTTATAAGTAGTTTGTCTCAGCCGCATTGGAGTTTTAGCTAAACTGTACCTTGGTAATGTGGGGTATCTCCAGTCACGGTGCTGGTATTGTTCCCTTTCGCGTTCAGCTCACACGGTGTTTCGCGCAGGCACAACTTGAGACACTGAGCCAGTTTAGGGTAAAAGATTTTGATAAGTAGGAATAGAAGGTGGTTCAGGTTGTCCGGTTCGTTTGCCTCCAACTGGTATTCCTCAGCCACAGCGCTCCAGTGCTTTCCTGGTGGGGACTTTTGCCCCGCTCAGCTCACACAAGTCCTTCCTTGCGCGATTTTCTAGGCTGTGATTTCTGTTTGGGTAGACTAACTCGGTAGAATACTTCAAGTTATGTTTAATCATTTGTGTATCTAACTTAG